TACGATAATTATCGTACACCTGGCAACACTGAGCAGATAGCTTGCAAATTTGTTGTCAGATAGCCAACTGCGTGTGAAAGTGAAATGCTTTTAGATTTTAAACACAATTATTGTTTCCTGTTTTACAGTTTACCACATCTGAGCCACCAAAAGGSCYGTCATTSTTTGGGGTAAATGAGTCCAGGGTGAGYGGAACGTGTGAGCCAGAACCAGGCMAGACTGATTTTTGCTATGTGGGTGACATTAGGCTGACATTTAGTGCCAGTGCTAAAATCTGTTCTGGGCCAGCACCGGGCCACCTATGTACAATACTTGCAGCTGGCCTGATGCTGGCCCACACATTGACCTTATCTGGCAAACTGCGTCTGGGCCACCCAAGGGCTATCATTAATTGCAGTATCTGGGCCAAATGTGAACTGAACATGTGGGCCAGATCTGTGCCAAACCGATTTTTCTATGTGGGTAATATCAAGCTGACATCTGGTGCAAGTGCTGAAATTTGATTGGGCCAAGAAAGGGCCGGCATACTTTGCCCTATTTGGATGGAGTGTTAGCGTGTTGTGTGGGCCAGAACTGGACCAGACAAATTTTGTTATGTGGGTTGTAGTTTTAAATTACTGATTGGATTCATCAGATTTAACGGATAAATATAACTGAGGATCATCAGCGTAACAATGAAATTTTATCCCATGCAGCTTAACCACTTTACCCAATGGAAACATATATAACATAAAGAGGATTGACGTTTCCGTATCTGGGTGGATATCTAATTTTTTAGACTAGCTTGGCCCAAATGTGAAAAATAAATAAATAAAACRTATAACTRYTGTAWTCTACAGTGATTACGTGTTAAGGGTACTTGGGACTGTAAGGGACATTATTTGAACATWAAAACAACATTTRAGCTTAAAGTCTATTCCTCATTGCTATTTTTTTTAGCCATACGACTTACTCTGACAGAATAAGTGCAATAATAAGTGMTTTTTTTCTGCTTGTCCTTCAGAGGAGTCGGACGCTTTTTGCTCTCTCTCTCCCAAACCTGTCCNTTTTTTTCTGCTTGTCCTTCAGAGGAGTCGGACGCTTTTTGCTCTCTCTCTCCCAAACCTGTCCCTCCTTTCCTGCTTCGCAGCTTTTTCAAACCTTTCTTCTACCTATCACCCGAAAACAAAAGGAATTATAGATTTGGTCAAGTTTCTGAATGCAACTGACTCTATTTTTTCCACATTGAGATTGGAACGRGGGGAACATAGCTGTCCCAGTGGAATGGTTGCTGCTGGTCGGGTCAGTGGTTCCTGGGGCTGGAACCTGATCTGTTTGGCGCCGCTTTCCATTGAAGACGTGGAAGATTTGTATATAGTTGGATTTCTGCTGATCGGGGGAGGCGGATATCTGGCTTATGGGRAAATGAAAGYGATCCTGACAGCAGTCCGKGTCTGTGAGAAGCTGTCAGGAACCATAGATGGAATCTCCCATCCTGGAAATGCACAGACTCAGATGTTGGGGGAGTTAAGTTTCAAAGTGGATGTGATTCTGACAAAAATCACAGCTCAGCAGTGTCCCCATGAGATGTAGGATCACACCTGGGTGATGAAATTTGGAACATTCTGCATTTTTTTCACTATTTCACTATTTTTAAACTAGTCTTTGGACTCTGACGGATCTTGTATTGGTTCCAGCATGGAGTATTAACCTGGAACATCACCGGCTCCACTGAATCCCACCCCCATACCATGTGTTTGATCCCCACKTAGCTGCCTTGCTCTCGCGAGTCATTTTTTTGTGCATATGACTGATTCTGTGTTTATGAGTAAACATAGGATCAGAGCATCTTTTTTAACTCATCTATCCTATTGTGTGTTTCCAAGCTGCAAAAGGTAGCGCAACCATGTTGCACAAGACCTGATCATCCGTTCTCTCCCATGTTTGTTATGTGTGTGTAAAAAAAAAACAGGTGTTCTTCACTGCAAGTTCCTAGTCTGTGAATGTTCACTGACAATGGCAATAAAACTGATTCTGATGAATTTATGTAGTTTCTTTCTTTTCAACATTTGTTAATTTCCTTTGCAATATTATTTAATTTGAAAACACTAAGTTTTTAGGGGTTTTAACAAAACATGATACTGCTGAGCTTTAGTGATGCACACACACACACACACACACACACACACAC